TGGCCGCAGTCCGACCGCAACCCGCGCTATGGCAACCACGTGGTGTTGCTGCTCAAGATGCAGGCCCGTGGGGCGGCTCTGGCGCGTCCACCCTGCTGCGTGCCCACGGCCTACGCGGGCAAGCTGCTCATCACCCTGTCGGAGGAGCGCATCAGCGCACACCACGTGCCCAACATGGTGGCCACCGAGTGCGGCTGCCGGTAACTCCGCGGCGCCCCTGTCCATATTTATTCGGACCCGAATCATCACCCCAATAAAGACCACAAGCACACGGCTGAGGTGTCCGTGCACTTTGGGGGCAGGCGGGGCCTCCTTCAGCCAGCCCTCCTTTGGCGCGCGGGGCTGGGTCATCCGGTTGGCACTGCCTCCTCCCTTCGCTACCCCACCCCTGTCTGAAGTTCTCATCCCAGTCATTCAGGCCCCGGGCTACAGCCGAGGTCGAGGTGCAAAGGAGCAGCGACGTGGGGGCCACAGCACTCGCTTTATTTCGCTAGAACCAGGGGCTACTCGGAAGAGGTCCCGGGATTCCGGTGCGGGACCCAGGCCCGGCTCAGTCTCGCCCCTTCCCGGCGCGGTGCTTCTGGCGGCCCGGAGGCCAGTCCTCTGCGTTGGGGCGTCGCGGAGAGGCCCAGGCCTGCCTCTTCCTGTGCTTAGGGTCTCTGGAGTCCCGCACCCACGGTCGATGGCCTTCTTCTCGTGCCTTCCAGCGCTGGGGTAGGGATTCCCGGGGCTCCCTGGCGGGCCGTGGCTTCTCCGGCTTCCATGGTCTCTCTTCAGTCCGCGGTCTCTCCTTCCGCGGCCTCTCCTTCCGCGGCCTCTCCTTCTGCAGCCTCTCCTTGGGCCCCTCGTGGGCGAGGGGCGCGCGATCCTCCCCAGCGGCCTCCTCAGGGTCCCCTTCCTCCTTTTCTGCAGCCTCCGCACTCCTGGGAACCTCTGTCTTCTCCTCTGCCTGCACCTGGGGCGCAGCGGGTCCCGCTGGGGGAGTCCAGGCCTCGGGCTTCAGCTGCAACGCAGTGCGGGTGGATGGAATCGGCGCAAACCCACCCCCAGGCACAGCCCCTTCCTCAAAAGAGGGCTCAGCCGCCCCACGTCGCTGAAGGAAACGCTTACCGAGGGCGACGCCGGCTTCTTTGGCGCAGAGCTTGGAGGGACCCATGGCTCAGGGACAGGTGCAGGGGCGTCCGCCACTCCAACCACGACGTCTGAGAGGGGACGGGAGCGGGTGCGAATCAGCCGGCGCCAAGAGCCAGACCCCCAAGTCCCTCCCAGCCCTCGCCGCTCTACAGCGCCTTCTTCCGGGGACAGACGGAGAGGAGGAGCCGATTTCTCCCAGGACTCGGAGCTGGGCTGCATGCCTCCGAGCCCTTGGAAAGAGTGCGGGTCCCCGCTGCTGCGGGCGCCCCCGTCGCTCCAGATCGCATTCCGGTTGCTAAAGGACCGGGCATATTTTTCCGCGGGCTGCAGGCCGCCCGTGGCTCATCCTGGGCGTGCAAGGCCCCTGGGGGAGTCGGGGGAGCATTCACCGGGCAGGGAGGTGCACCAAGCTCCTTACTGGGAGGGGAAGGTTCCCTCCACCACTGCAAGGTCCAGGGCGGGCGGGTAGAGAAGGAGGCACGCAAAGCCCATCCCGGAGAGAGGGGCCCGGGCGGACCTTGGAGGTGCACAGAAGAGGAGGACCGCGCGCAAGGTCCATGCTAGGGCAAAGGCGTGGCGCGAGGGGAGACGGGGGAGTAACGTGGGCCTGTCCATCAGGAGGGGGACGTGTAAGACTCGTGCGGGGGCACAGGCTCACCGCGACACAGCTGGAAGGCTGAGCCCAGCAGCGCCACCAGCGAGGCGAGCACCAGGCACTTGTTGAGCGACAAGTCTCCCCAGGGTAGCTCC